CTTCTAATAGAAATTCGGTTGATAACTAACCTCATAATTTACTCGATCGAAGCAGCTATGGTCGAAATTGACAGAAGGATCGGACAAGAACTCCAGACTGACCTCAAAATTGAAGGATAACTGTTTCTTTTCTAGCTCACTCCTACTAAAGCAGTTTATGATGTTATAACTATATAACCGAGAACGCTGAGTGGTACGCAAAAGTCTCCACCTCAGGCGAGGGTGAACCCGCGCTTAACGCATTCAGGGAGCCTACTCCGACACTATCTAGGCTAATTCAATAATGGCAATATCTGAGCACAGTTAAACCTCCTCACCTCTCTATCATTCAAACAATACTGACGAAGAAGCTGAATGACACGATGCTGCATGTCGCGAGAAGGGTTATTCTCATGAAATAAGTCGCCACCTGAAAGTGCCTTTTTAGCGCTAGGAAAATCTAAGAGCTGCAGGTAGGGAAACAACAAAACTTTCTAAGAATTTTACTTAGATTCTTCCATAGAATAGTTCGTTAAAAAACAATCGGTTATTGTGGCTACAAGGGGAGAAAATGAACAACAGACCTCATTCGCTGGGTAGCAACTTTTTCATAGGAGTTGCAAGAACCATTCGAAAAGCTGAGACTTCCGGTTGCAGCCCCACGTCGCCGGCTTTTCATAGATCGTTTTATAACGCTGCAAAATCTTAAAGAAACTAGCAAAATAGTTCCAAAAGAGAATGTTTTATGGCCTAAACGAGGTTGGTACGCCAGGGCCATACATCGGTGGTTTCGGAGGTTTCGGCCTCTTCGTCAGTGACCCCCGCCCCACATTAAGCCCTGCATTGTAGCAAGGAGGGAGGGTATGTGGTGATGGCATAGTGTCCAATGACACAGGTCCTTTTCGTCGTTTTGATCTACCAGCCGAAATCCATCGACTGAACAGTGGTGATGGACCCAGTGTCATTGTACACTATGCCATCACTACATACGCCTCCCTCCTTGCTACAATGCAGGGCTCAATGTGGGGGGCGGGGGTTCACTGACAAGGTAGGCCAAAACCTCTAAAACACCGGTGTATGTTCCCTGGCGTACCAACCTCGTTTGGGGCTTAAAATCCCTTTTTGGAATTATTCTGAATATTCACCACGAGATTTTTAAACAATCGATCTTATGGATTAATAAAACTAACGTCAGATGCGCATATTTTTCGCGGGACAGAGCTTTCTCTTTGGACTATCAATAATAATTCGATAGCGTAATCGCTGCTAATTTCAACGCTGTGCTTATATCCTGAAAAGACCGTTTCTCTGCAACGCAGTAAGTCAAAATAAGTTGAATTTGCATGTGGACCACCGAGGGTCTTTGGCCAATTCACGTGCCGCTGGGTGAGGTGGCCACGTGAAGTGCTGACGCGATATTACTCTACATGGTCATATGCTCGAAAATCAATCGATCATCGCCTCAGGCACAGGCACGTAATTTGGCCAAAGACCCTGTTGATTACGCATACGAATTCAACTTATTTTACCTGCTGCCTTGCAGAGAAACGGTCTTTTGAGGATATAAGCACAGCGTTGAAATCAGCAGTGATTACGTTACCGAATGATTACTAGCAGTCCAAAGAGATCGGACGAGAAATATGAGCGCGCGTGCTACGCAAGGAATCTCCTTCCGTAACAACGTCAAAAAAGGCCTTTTTGAAAATCGGCGATGTAGGGCTGTAGCCAGAAAATCTCAGCTTTCGAAAGGCTACTAACACTCCTATGAAAAATCCCCTTCAGCGATATGAGGTCGGCTTTTCATTTGTCCCCTATAACAGAAAATACCACTCTTTCAAATGCTGACAAGTAAGTGAAACGCACCAACGAACCTAGTCAGTACCATATCCACCTTCTTCTCAACCGCTATTTTCAGCACCTCTTCAAAGTGTTGATAGAGTCGAGATATCTAAAGAAAAAAAAGAAGCCAGATCCCTTCATAAAAAAGGATAAAAGGATAAAGCTATCGGCGCCGATCAACCCCCCTTAGAGATGCGCCATGCATTCGACTTCAGTAGCCCCACTAATGCTGATTGGAACAATCGTCCTCTAGAATGACTCGTACTGGGCTACCAATGTATCAGATCAGAGATATTATCTCCCAGACAGCTCTGACACCGAACTCGCCATCTTTGGAAAAATGGAAAGTTTGGTGAGGTATGGGCGCGAATCGAACCAACGACCACGATTGCATGGCGGTGTACCTCTAGTCACTGCCCCCGACGACGGCTATAACTCAACCTTATTCCTATCATTTTAGCCGACCTGAATTACGGTCTTTCTTTCAGTGTGTCGGGTCCCAGCACTCAAGCAATCGATTTGCCTCCCGTTTCCTTGAGGGTCATCTTCACAAACGTCGTAGAATAGTGATCGAGTGCTCTTCTTGCAATCCCGAGGATAGCCAGGCCGTGACGTCCCATAGGAGTTCGTTATTGATTGCCGAAGAGTACTGAGAGCGGTGGGAGTTCTGTCCTGCGTCGGACTGTGCGACGAGCACCACTATCAACGCGGTCACAGGCCCCTGTGATGAAACTCTTAGAGTCTTCTTACTTCATCCCTCTTCATGATATATTTGCCTCACTGTGAGATCATCAGTACTCCAAGCATTCAAATCGTTTTATCGTCCTCCTCTTGAACGTCGCTGAACTGGTCAACCACCTCTCTCTGCAAACTCGAGGATAGCCAGGCTAGGGCGCTCTGTGGGCTTCAACTATTGATTCTCTTCTTGAGAGTTTTTAAAAGAGACTAATACTACATACGCCCAGGCTCTGAAGAAAGCGGGTTGCCGAAACGTCAGCCGAGTTACTACGAGTACTTTAGCAATCTCGCGTCAGCTAATCAAGATAAGTTTTTCGATTTTCATACATCAATCAAGCCGAGGTTTGCAGAAAGTCGAACTATTGAATTGTCACTATTGACTGCCGGAGAGTATCGAGAGCGGGGGTCAATCACGCCTGGCGCTGCGGCGAGCGTCACTAGTCACCCAATAATGTGGATTGCTGTGCAAAAACATTTGCGTCAGCCGGGATTCGAACTCAGATCTCACCCTTTCCGGGAGCATATGCTAACTGTTGCACCACCGACGCTCGCTTTGCATAGCACTATTTTTTACGCTATAACGCGTTGTCTGCCAACAGCCAACCGTCGACGTTTCTAGCGGTTCGAGCTTCGGTGGTGCAACGGTCAGCATACGCTCCCAAAAAGAGTGAGATCTGGGTTCGAATCCCGGCTGACGCAAATGTTTTTGCAGAGCAACTCCACATTATTGGGTATACTGTAGCATCATAACCACTGCAAGTGGCAGTCAAATAAAAAGAATTTCGTCACTAGTCCACTTGGCCAACACGCTCCCTGTGACTCACTCGAATGGTAAGAAACAATGGTGGTGAACACTGCTGAAAGAAACTTACAAATTCTGCTTGTTTTCACCGTATCCGACGTGTATATCACTGGCGACGAGAATCCGTAGAATATCCTCATTTTCACGACGAGAAGTCTTCTCGATATGCTCGACAAGAGTGTCGTTCAAAACGAGTTGCTTTCTCAGCAGCAGACTGTTCTTCTTCTTCTTGCGGCTCTTCTACGCCTTCGTGTTCCTCTTCGCCGCCAGAAAACATGTCATTATACATATCCTAAAGATTTTCTTGATGAGAAAAAACCTCAGATCAACGGTCTTCTTTGTTGAGCAATTCCGAGGCTTGTAGTTTAATTACCCAAGTTTGAGGACCTGAAGATAGCTAACCTTGCCGAATCGTAAGCCACCACGATTATTGTATTATTTATGCTGCACTACTACATCGTGGCGCATGTGGCGCAGTGGTTAGAGGTGCTCTGCGTCGCACACGAGATCAATGGTTCGGATCTCGTGCTCATGGCTCACCAAGCCATCCATCCCTCCGGGGTCGGTAAATTGGTACCAGGCAGGTCTCAGACTTGTCTGGGAGGATAAGCAGCACTGACTCGGTTCAGCGGGAGGCCACCGCGAGTCATTGTAAAGGCCAGATATGCATTCAATCACCTCAGACGAAGTTAAAAATTGAAGTCGAATGCATGGCGCATCCCTCAGGAATTGATCAACGCCGAGAGCTTCAGAAATTATAGTACTTCTACTGCTTATTTCGCAGTGTTATGATGTTACTTATATAACTTAGAGAATTGAGTGGTGAGCAAAAACACGGTCTCAGGCGGGAATCCGAACCCGCGTTTCATCCTATCCGGGGACGGATTTATAAAGCGAAATCGCATATCCGACCAAACCTGTTAAAGGTTGGTGGCTGATAGCTAACATGGAGATGTTGAAGAATGAGTGGTCTGACTAATGTGCCTCGGTGGTGTAGTGGTTAGAGCACGTGTCCCCGGATAGGATGAAAACGCGGGTTCGATCCCAGCCTGAGGCCGTGTTTTTGCTCACCACTCAGTTCTCCAAGTTATATCACTAATCTTCGTCAAATACTATTTTTAACACCTCGGAACTGCTCAACAAAAAAAACTACGCGATCGAAAATTTGACATTTTGATCTTTGAAAATTCGGAAAAATTTGAAAAAAATCTTGAAAAATCTCGAAAAAAATTTGAATTTTCAATTTTTGATTAATTGCTCAATTTTTGAAATTAAAATTTCTAAATTCAAAATTAAAATTTATATCTAAATTTGACTAATTTTTAATTTTTAGAAAAAAATTAAAGAAGAAGAAAAAAGAAGAAGGAAAAAAGGAACGTACCGTAGCCATATTCACTCAGTAAACTTCACAGTAGCCGAACATAAAAGGATTTATAGCCGAACATGTCGCAGCACCGGCAACTGATTTTTTCCCTCAACAGTATTACTGTAAGATTCAAAAAAGGTCGCAGATATTCTACAGACAACACGTTAAAATACGTCTTATTATGACGGCAAGAGAAAGAAAGTTGTGTCTATATGGCGCTGGATGTGTGGTATTGCCGTTTAGAGGCATTGTATTTATTTTGCTATTTACAATATTGGCACTGTGGCTCAGTGGTTAAGTGCTGGTTCACTATGCGGGCGACCCGAGTTCTATTCCCGGCCAGCGTCGTCACTTTATTATAGCCGAAGAAAGATCGGAGTGGGTGATTTTGACCAGCACAAAAGTGGTACGTATATAGGACATGATTGCTTTGATGTTATTATCCTTATAAATTCATATAAACATTGGTGGCTTCTCCGACTTCTTCCACTGCCACTCCTCTCCTAGAGCGGCTCGTTCTCTGCTGGGCATGTTACCTGACGAATGAGGCGCGCTACCCGCGGCGCGGGGAGCCGTGGAGCCGAGCTCCACCCCTCAGCTCTCTCCGGCAGTCAACAACAACGCCCTGTGGAGCGCCGCGGCCTGGCTATCCTCGCGATTGCAAGGCGACTCGCTCGGCCAGGATTCTACGCCGTTCAAGAAGAAGACGACAAAAACTAATTGAATGCTGGAGTTACTGGGATCCCCAAAATGAAAAAGACCACGCTCAAATTTAATATAACTTATTATTATCTTATTATTGCTATTATTATTATTATTATCCGGCAATTATTTGTATTTATATTCTTTTTTATATTATTTTATATTTTTTATTTTTGTATATTATTTGTTGTAATTTTTGTATTTTTACATTTTTTGCATTTTTACATATTTTTTATTTTTGTAATAAATACCAGCCAAGAGCAGTCGAGTGTCAGAAATTCGCGATCTTGTGATTTTTCACCTGACAGCGATTGCGTAGATCGTTCGTTGTTGCCTACCTCTTTATAAGGGATGTAGGGGTCCCGAAAGGCTTGCCTGAAGACGAAGGGCCTGCTGCCCGACTGACGAGGCTGCAAGGCCGAAACACGTGTATCATCGGGCTGTACATGAGCCCATTTACAGACCACATGACACGTGTTGGCTCAAATAATAATTGTGAAGCATATAAACATCAGCAAATAGTTTCTGATAGAAAATACGTCTAACACTACGTACGTTCACGTATACACATGGGAATCTTTGTACATACGCATGTATATACATCTCGTGTATACACGTGTATATACATTCGTGTGTATACACCACGGATATACATGTCTATAAGACATATGAGAATGGAAATGTTTGGATCTTTTCTCAGGTGTTACATTTTGTTCAATTTTCTTACCCAATCGACTATTCGAAGTGAGTTTGGTGATTCGTTACGGCGATTTTGTTTTATTTATTTCTTTCAGTCGATAATCATCTTATTTGACCGCCAACTGCGGTGTTATGATGTTCAACTAAACCCAATGATGTAAACTCTAGAGTGGAGTGCAAAACGAGCGTCGGTGGTGCAACGGTTTTTGCACATGCTCGCGGAAAGAGTAAGATCTGGGTTCAAATCCCGGCAGAGGCAAACGTTTTTGCACACCACTCTACATCATCATTGGGTTTATTTCTTTCACTTTTTCTCTTCTGCTTTATTCATCTCTGTTTTTTTCCACTCTCGGAATTTTTTCGTCGTCGTGCATTGATGGCTATGCAAATGAGTCTAGTTGTTTTTTAGCCCTCTTTTAGGAATGGATGACGCCACGAAATCTCGCCTGAAAGCGATCCCTCTGTGTAAGACGAAAGCCGGACCACGTGATGGAGATTTGTGGATCGAACGGCTCAAGGTCTATCTGTGTATCGAATTGCTTCACTTATATCCCATCGTTTTTTGTTGTTTCTCGTTTTATTCCTTTATGGGATTGTACTGTCTTGTTTGTAGGAAGAGTATCAATCGATTATCAAATTCGTCCAGAATAATAAGGATTCGGATTCGGACTGGTTTCGCCTGGAGTCGAACGCGGACGGAACGAAATGGTTCGGAAAATGCTGGCATTATCATAATATGGTTAGGTGTGTACTCTTCTTTTTCGTGACGATTCTTTAACCTTTCGCTTTCGAGTGTTTTCTTAAGACTACAACTCAAATTTAAATATGCCTGGTAATCATTTTCTTGAGCCACGCATGTCAGTGGTCTATCAAAGAGGGCTGACTTATAGAACTCGATACACGTGTTTCGATCTTGCGATCTCGTCAGTCGGGCAGTTACCCTTTCGCTTCTCTTGCCAATCCTGTGTGGGGCGCTCCAGTCCTCCCACACTAAGAGTTGGCGACGACGAACGTTTTACACTCTATGTCCAGTGAAATTTTCACCGAACATAGAGCGCTGTGCACTTAGTGTGGGGACTGGAGCGCCCCACACAGGATTGGCAAGAGAAGCGAAAGGGTAACTGCCCGACTGACGAGATCGCAACATCGAAACACGTGTATCGGGCTCTATAAGACAGCCCTCCTCAATAGACCACTGACATGCATGGCTCAAAAAATGAACAACAGGCATATTGAGATTCTTCAACCCTCGCGCAACCATGGACCCAACCCCTTGCACGTCTGACCCCGTGTGTTGCGTCTAACAATGGGCGCACTGGGGTTAGACGCTGTCAGACGCAGCACGCAGAAGACTGAGTCCATGGCCCGGCGGAGTTAAGCGATTTTGACTACAGGACGCCTTAGAAGTGGGTTGGGATAGTATCCAATTCTTATAGCAAGCGCCCCCCATCAGGTTGAACCATGCCTCCCAATAAAGTAGCACTTATACTTCTTGAACATAGGTAAAGACTTTTAAGGAAGGGGTTAGATTTACTTTGCAAGGATGCCTGAAAAGGATGAAGGATAAAGCTTTTGGCGTTGATCAATCCCTTAGGGAGGCGCCATGCTTTCGTCTTCAAATTAAAACTTCGTTTGAGGTGATTGAATGCATATCTGGCCTTTTCAATGACTCACGGTGGCTTTCCGCTGAACCGAGTTAGTGCTGCTTATCCTCCTAGTGATCTCTGAGACTAGTCTCGTACCAATTTACCGACCCCGCAGGGATGGATGGCTTGGTGAGCCATAAGCGCTAGTTGAACCATTGACCTTGTGGGCGACGCAGGGCACCTCTAACCACTGCGCCACATGCGCTCTTTTGAATAAATGTTCAGGATACCTTAGATCGCTCGAATATTGAGCAGTGTTAAGGACGTATCTCTTTTGATTTCTATACTTAAGAAAATGAAAATGGTTTTTTGTACGACGCATGTTCATACTCTATTGTGCGGATTCCAGTAGGTCAATAATCCGATCTGTCCCCTCGCATTCATTTTCTTGAGGACTTCGTTTCCATCATGGACGCCGTGGAATGTTGGTCTCACAGATCTTATTGCAATCGAGGCTAGCCAGGCTGCGGCATTCATAATGATTGCCGGAGAATGTGGGGTAGATTAAGCGTCAAGCCAGCACCACTAACCACTCATCCAGTGCGCTCGCGTCTTTTCCGGTATTTGTAACCGAAAGGGGTGTAGAGCTCTGAATTGTTTGAACACTGCAGTTCAAACACTCTCATACTGAATTCGATTTTACAAGGACTAGAAAGTGAAAACCAAAAGAAAGGGACCCATGATGTGCAAAACCTTTGCTTAAGGCGGTACTAGAACCCGCATTTCACCCAGTCCGGGGTCGCGTACTCTAGCCATTGCACCCCTGAGGCCTGTTTGACTACCGTCTGTAAGGGATAGAGTCCGCGCCGTGGATTGAATGAAGTTTGGGTTCAAGTTCCGCCTGACGTAAATGTTTTGCATATCACTCTACATCACCTGTATCACCTGTCGTCCCGTTGATCGTCGAGTGACTCGAGCGGGTGCCAGCAACCCTTCCATTTTTCCCTATCGCGTGCAAGATTAGCCCAGTGGGTCCTCCTCGCTTTAGGGATTCGCTGAGCATCATATCTTTCTTCCATCGCTTTCGTGAAGAAATCGGACCAACGGGTCAGTGGTCTTCCTTTAGAGCGCTTGACGTCCCGAGGAATCCAGTCGGTAACGGCTTTCGTCCATCGGTTGTTGTTGAAGCGCATCACGTGTCCGGCCCACCTTATTTTCGATATCCTGGCGTGTAGAACGGCGTCTCTGATTTTCGATCGTTGACGTAGGTCGGAACTTCGGATCCTTTCTCTCATTTGCGAAATACGGGATACTCCTAGCATCGTCCTTTCGACTGCGCGTTCGATAAAGCCAAGTATATTATATTTGTGGCAGGCGATGTGGAACTGGGTATTTAATATGGTGCCGAAAGCGTAATTGGGGAATGACAAGCATATATTGAATATTGGTGATGCAATACAACAGTACAGTGTCGTAGTGCAGCATAACTAGTATAATCACCGTGGTGGCTTACGTTTTGGCGATGTTCGCCATCCTCAGGCCTTGAAAGGTCAAATTGATTTTCAGTTAAAACCTTCATAACCTCAGCAGAAAACGCAGGAAACGAATTTTGGGTTGCATAGCAGAAGCTTTATTCCAGAAACATTCACCGCTCAGATGTTTTAGGTCTTTCAATTAATTATTGAAGGGCATATGAATTGAAAGGCCTGAAACATCTAAGCGGTGAGTGTTTTTGAAGTAATTCTTTTGCTTCAAAGGATAAAGGATGAAGCTCTCGGCGTTGATCAATCCCTGAGGGATGCGCCATGCATTTGTCTTCAATTTCTAACTTCGTTTGAGGTGATTGAATGCATATCTGGCCCTTACAATGACTTGCGGTAGCTACCTGCTGAATCGAGTCAGTGCTGCTTATCCTCTCAAACAAGTCTGAGACCAGTCTCGTACCAATTTACCAACCCCGGAGGGATGAATGACTTGGTGAGGACCGTGAGCACGAGATTGAACCATTGATCTGGTGTGCGACGGAGATCATCTCTAATCACTGCGCCGCATGCGCTCTTTTACTACGCAACCCAAAATTCGTCTTTTTCCTGCCTTCGAGCCGCACGAGCTTCAGTTTTTTTTTATTTTCATTTATACGTTCGATAGCGTGAGTTTAAGTAATTCCAACGTTGTGCTTATTTACTGGAAAAGACCGTTTCACTGCAGTGTGATTGGTAAAATAAGATCGAGTTTCACATATTCGGCCGGTTTGTTTTCCGCCCAACCTAAGGGTGGACGGGGCCATCGATCGATGACCTGACGGGTTAGGCATGTGGAGTGCAAATTGTTATTCAGTTGGAGACTTCTTTCCCTCTTTGTAAGACACCCGAGATAAAACCGAGCGACTCATATACTACGAGATTTCCTCTGCCACGTTCACATGCTTTTCGTGCCTCCAAAGAATTATACATGATAGAAATGAAGGCGCGCGGCAGGTGTGAAATATAATTTTATTCTGGGTGCTACATCATTGTAAAAGGGTTTTCTGAAAAACGGCCTTAAAGGGCGTTAGCCAGAGATTCAAGCTTTCGAATGATTACCAACACTCCTATGAAAAAATTCTTGTCCAGCAAATAGGGTAGAATATTCATTTGTCGCCGTCTAACAGATAAGAATCATTATTATCTATGATGCGTGATTTTTTCGAACGCGAAGGCGCATAAGTTCGTGGTGTATTCTATCCTTTTTGGGTAGATTTCAACAAATGCTGAGCTCTGGTTTTGCTGTTATAGAAGATATAGTGGATGAAAAAAAAAATGGGCCACCACGCTTTCAGCAAAATCTTCTTTTAGTGCAAGTCTGGGTGGTCTATCTTTCTCCAAGGCTATCGAAGATGGTGTACAATAGTAATTCTAATGATGTAAATTGGATCCAGGGTAGTTTGCTAACAGAAATTATGTTACACAGAGTGAAGCTAGCGGTTTGAGTGGCGTGTATGGCGCGTATGGCGTAGTGGGCTCAGAAACCCTTCCATCTCTCCCGGGTCTGTGATTCGGTATCGGATTTAGCTGGGAGGATAGCCGTATTGACGTGATACATCGGTAGATTTTCGTGATTTATTGTAAAGGCCAGTCGTATATGCAAATCATCTCTAACGATGCTATATGAAGACTTTTACATGGTGCACCCCATGGCGCATGGGGTTGATCAACGGCTGGAACTTCATCCTTTTATCTTTGATATGATAAACCGGAGCAGTAGGTCTTATACTCTTGAAAGCATTTGTGTGTGACAGTCTGCTAATAATCTTGGTATTTTTCCTAAGTGCGATTAATGTGACAAAAAAACAATGTAAAAAATGTATTTCTAGATACGAATTCGATGTAGAGTTTGACATTCCTGTAACTTATCCAGTCACGGCACCCGAGATTGCCCTGCCCGAATTGGATGGCAAAACTGCGAAGGTTCATTCTTTAACTTAATTTCAGCTTTACTTTTTTTTAGAGAGATATACAACACTTAGCATGGTTTTTGGAGTGTAGAAGAACAGATGATTGACCATCTAATAGAAGTTTGGGTTTATCTGATAGGTCTGTCATTAGTGCACATAGATTGAGCCCCAAAGGAGTTGTTCCACAGCTTTCGAGCGTTAAGTACGCGCTCCATATCATAATGGACAAAATGAATGTCC